CATCCGCGGCTGGGTCACACGAGATGTGCAATTAGCCACTACAAGGTCACCAGGGATTACCTGCGCTGCACGTATGACCCCGAGGACCACAGTCAGCACATCTGCCTGTGTTCTCCCATATTAATCCATTTTTTTCCAGCTGTTTTGTTAATAAAAATTATAATTAAAAAAAAAAAAGTCTAGTGCATACTATTATCTTTCCTACCAGACCTTCCAGCAGACCAGGGCATGGCAGAGGCACATGCACAGGGACATCGATGCCATTCCCATGGCTCAGACAAGACCAGGAATGACTCTGTGACACGGTGACACCCTTCCTGTTGTGGGGTAAAAAAAACCTGGGGGACAATTTCTGCTAGACCCAACACCTGGATAGACCCGACAAGTGCAGAAGGAGCCACCACGGCGTGGTGGGGCTGGTGGGTATCAGAAGAGGCAGGTTCCTACAGACAGGCAGTGCAGGCAGCGCTGCCCTCCCATCGCCCTGGGACGGAGCAGAAAGGAGGGGAAATACCTCCTGGACCTAAGACGTGTCACGTAACTAGTCAGACCACTGATGTCCTCTGTGCCAGGAACACGCTGGCTGAAAAACACAAAATAGGAGCAAAACCCAGGAATTCCCCATGGAAAGTTGGGGGGCGAGGGGCAGGAGCTCCCGGATCATGGCTCAGCACCGCGCAGCAGAGCAGGACACGGCTGCCCGGTGAGTGATTTTGTTTACTTTGGTGGAGTTACGCCAGGAACGGACTTGGCCCCAGCATGTCTGAGGGTTATTGTATCTGCATTCCCCCATGCATATACTGTCGAGATGTATTAACTTCCTTAAATGTACCAGTAAAACAACCTCTTATGATACACTTTAATGAACTTGTACAGTAGCCAGCAAATTGTGCATCATATAAAACCCATTCGGCCTTATAGACTCTCTGGCTATTTTGTAATAACTGCAATTTGCTTCTGCTGCAGCAAGATAACCAGGGTTGAGAAGTCAGGCTTTGCAGAAACCTAAATATTTGATTTGGGGGGGGGAGTGGGTGGGAGAAGGAAGAAAGGGGCCTCTGGGAGCTATTTATGGGGTCAAAATAACATGAGACCTGCTCTTCTCGTAGCATTTCCACCATCAAGGAAATGAAATACTGTGAGAAGACCAGCACTTGCATTATTTTGGCCCCAGAAATAGCTCCCTGAGGCTTTCAAAAGCCCGTGAAAGACAAACACAAATACAAATAAATGCTAATACTGGAAACGTAAATACTAAAACCTGCCCATGTCCTCAGAGGAAACAACTCACAAAGTCCTGACTGCCCTAAAAACAGAAAAAAAAAAAAAATAAAAAAGACAGCAGGGGGAAAAAAGGCGAAGGAGCAGGAACATCTGCTGAAGCCATGAGGAGAAAGTCACTTCAGGGGAGCTGGGAACAGCCCTGCCTGTGCGTGTGACGGTAACAGCAACGGGCACCGCTGGCATCGCCCGGGGTCCCCGAGCAACAGGGGTTCTCAGGGCACACGCGCGTTCTGCTGCGGCGAAGGCAGCAGCACTAAAACCCTCACCGCTGCCGGCACAGGGAGGAGCGGCTGTCGAGAGCGGGGGGCTGGCGGCAGGGTGACGGTCCTGCTGGGGTCCCCAGCCCACCTGGGGGGCAGCTGTCCCCCTCCCGCGGCCCTGCAGCATCCCGCATGGTGGGGTGCTGTGCCGATATCGGTGCTGCTCGGAGAGCAACGGGGCATTGAAGGGGTTGCAAAGGAAATGCTGGCTGCCCTCTGCTCGGGCTGTTCCGCCTGCAGACCCACAGCCGTCCTGCCGTGCGTACGTTGTTGCATGAGAAACTGAAAAAGAAACCTCCCACAAAATATTTCTTTCTGCTGATATTCCCAACCACCAGCCTGACGGTCCTGTCCCTTGTTCTGCTGCCCCAAGGCACTCTGCTCTCCCTGAGCAGGCTGCCAAGGTGGAGAGGGCAAGGAGGAGGATGAGGAGGAGGAGCTGCTGTGGGGACAGCCCAGGGTCCCCAGGCCCAGGGGAGCAGGGCTGTCCCCCTCCGGCGAGGCGGCTGTACCCTCATTTCCAGAAAGCTCCAGGAACTGTCAGAGGACCCCGTCAAATCTAGAAAGGTCCAAAGCCCTGCCAAGCTTAAATGTGAAACCATTTGATAGGGTGCATTAATTCAATGCCTGAAGAAAATCCATACAGCCCTCTTTTGCCCGGAACACTCATAAATTATGCTGCCCTTCTGAGCCATGCTCTCTCTGTAGTGGTCCACTCGAAGCCCTGGTTATCTCCTGTCTACTCAAAAATCTCATCT